AGATGTGTCATTTTGCTACTGCCAAATTCTACATGTTCTGCTAGAATAGCCCAAATGCCCGTTTTTACAAGTTTAGTTAAAATGAAACTGGACCTTTTAAAATGGATTATAGGTAAGTAGAATAAAAAGGCAGCGTTCCTTAAACTAGACTGTTAAGTTTCCTGAGCACTTAATGAAATCCTGGATTTAATAACAAAGACTTAATTTTCTTTTTTAAAACCTAATGATAGTAGGAATGTGGTGTTCTATAGTCTTACTGACTTTTCCAAATGTGAAATAACTGTTCAGTTCCTAATCTTAGTAGGTTAAAATAATTAGAAATTTGAAAATTACTGCAATTCCACAAACACCTTATTAACTGTAGTGTAAAGCTTCTGGATATACATGTGTGTACCTAAACTTTTTTGGTTTTAATATCTCAATATTCACTGAAGCAGAACTGACTTAGTTCTAGAATCTGTGATGAAATTGTGCAAGTGCTGTCATTGTTTCTCAAATAACAGTGAATTTTAGAAATTTTACTTAACTCTCGCTTGTTTCAACTTTGACAATCTTGAAATCGGAATACTTGCTCTAGTTTTGTTAGCTCTCACTGTATCGGTTTAACTGTAGCATTTAGTTTCAGGGCCTAAGAGAGATAGAAATCTAGTTTTGGTGGTTACTCTGTCTGCTGAAACAGAAAACAGAAAAGTAAATTATATTTTATTTTATTGGGTTTTTTTGAGGTAATCTTAACAGGTTAGATACAAAAAAGAAATGGGAGTGCTGCTTTTATTTGTTATTGCGGAACGCGTCTGTTAGGATCATCATGTGAATAATAAGGAAGAAGTTTAAAGAAATGTATGTGATTGAGGGTAGGGGTCTCTGGTGGTAAAGGTGATTGGAGAAAGGAAAGTGAGCAATGATTTAAAAGTAACAAGTAGAAAGTAGCAGTGAATAGAGCGGAAGAAAGCTGTGTTCAGAGTCGCATTGACCTAGGAGCTTGGGTTTCAACATGTTCCATATGTATGGAATGTTTTATTACCTGAGAATATACATAATTTATGTTTAATTTTAAAAGGTTGGATTGATTTTTTTTTTTTTTTAATGGGTAATCTAGGAAAAAGCTTGTTTGGAAAGATAAAACATGACTGACATAGCTGTCAGCTGAAGAAATGTTTGAATAACAATGTATTAGCAGCAATATTCCATAAATAAAGTGGATGTAATACTTCACGTAGGATTTAAAATAATATTTCTCCCTTCATCAGTTTTTATAGTTGCAAGCTTTTGTCTTTGCTTTGAACAAATACCGTGTTTTGGGATGAGATAGCTATTCTGTGGCACCTAATTTATTGTGTGTAGGTGAAGTGGCACAATACCTATTTTGAGTTGTGCTGTCCTTCCTCCACTGAATAATTTTTAGAGAATTGTCATTCCTAGGGAATAAAATAGTTAATTTAAAAACAATAAAATAAATAAAACACACATCCAGACAGTTGACATCAAATTTGTATTTTTGTCTTCCCATCTTTATTAACATGCAGTTCTAGTTCAACTTTGTATATTGCATTTGCAACCAGACTCAAGTTTATTTAATGAAATTGCAGACTGGGTGCTGATTTGGAGCTTGTTGGAGTGTTCCTTAGGAGCTGGTTTGCTTGACTCTTCAACAATCTTTTGATTTAGCTTACTCTGTTTTAGTCACTGTGTCAGTGATTGTTGCCTTCTTGCTTCTTATGCTTTGCAGTTTCAGAATGGCAAACAAACTGCTAAGTAATAAAATAGCAATGTCTCTATCTTTTTTTTTTGCATGGTAGTACTCTGTCTAAAATGTTGTTGGTATTTACTTGTTCGGTTGGCATAAACTGTTCTGCTGTGAAAGGTCCCTTTGGGACAGTTCTTAGATGGTATCTGCAGGCTATGTGCACAGGAAGGACAGTAGTGTCTTGGGGCACAAATATACAAATAATATTATGATCCTGGGTAGTTTTTTTGAAAAAAGTTGCAGACAGCAGGGTTCAGTAATTAAATATCTTCCTATTGCCAGTATGTTTAAAAAAGAAAGTCTGCCCAGCATGTGTGAGGAAAAGCTTATTCCAGGAATCAACATATGAATATCTACACAGAAAATCCCCCGAGTCTCATTTATGAATACCTGCCCTATATAATCTTGTGTCGTTGTTGTATTTCAGGTATCCAGTTATGGTGAATGATATTTGATCCTATTATTATCGTTGTTATTTCAACCAAGAGAAGCAAAACTTGATAGTAGGGTGGGATCCTTAGGAGTTACCAACTCTGGCCAAACTGTGTTTGGGTCAAAGTGACTGAGAGTTTCACTGTTGATTTTTGTGGGACTCAGGTTAGGTCATTGCACAGTACTTTTGAAATCCCACCTCTAACTATTTCTGAGTTGAGTGTGTGATTATTTCCTCACAGGGAGGGGTCCCATCACCACACAGCCTTCCAAAACCACCATACAAGTGACATGCATTGGTCAAAATACCAAATTCCAGTAACTTTAACCATCTCCTGCTTGAGAAACTACATTAATAAGGCTAACAGACTGATGCTGAGCATTTGCAAGCACGGTAGTGAAAAGAGTGCTGTGGGCTTCGCTGGAAGTTGTAGGTGCTGAAGACCTCCAGGATCAGGCTCTGGATGAGCCATTCAGTACCATGTGCGGTCTCTCATAGGCTAGTTTCGTGCTTGCTTGCGGTAGTGGGAACTAGCCAGCCATGACAAAAAAAGAACACTGTGGGTCTTAAACTTGTGCTGGTGCTACTTCTGCTTTTAAAGTGAACACGATCTGAAAGCCCCTCTGCACTCAGCCTGCGAAAAGGGCTCAGCATGTGCCAGAGCTTCTGAAATCTGCCGAACAACTTGCGTCAGCGCGTGCCAGAGCAGCGAACCTTCTGGCACTTAGTGCGCTCCGGAGTTAACCCATCTCCTATCTTCAATTTTCTTCCTATTTTTTTTTCCCTTGGTGGTGCAGAGTCAGTGGCAGAGAGTTGTCTAGAGGTGTGTGGGGAAGAATAGCATGTAAATTTACTTTCAGGTCACAGGCCCCCATTCTACTGGAGTGACTCACTTGAAGTGATGCTAGTGTCTGAGATAAACCTCTCAGATACGTCACACAAGATGCTTATTATCGTAATTAATCTGTCACAATATAGTTATCATCCTTGGCTCAGCAGCCTATCGATATATGTATTACTGCTGTATTGTCTTTCTAAATGTATATGTCTGTGCGAGCTGTTGAGGATCAATTTACGGCTGTGGAGCCATCCTCGTTTCCTGCAGCAGGCATCCCTTCTCCCAACACAAGGCAGGAGGCACTGTTAGTTGTTGATGCCGTTACCTCTGGCAGCAAGCTGCTTTGCTTTGCAAGCTGACTTCATTCTTATTCTCTCTCCCCTCAGCTGCATTTTTGCCACGCAGCGCTCACACAAAATGCCACGTGCTGTCACGGGCTTGGTGTTGTCCTGGTGGTGCCTTCTCCCTCATGGCCTTTCAGAGTGAGGAGGTTTTGTAAAGGATGGTGGGGATGGGGTAGGCTCTCAAATCTGTGGCTGTGAAGAAGGCACTGGCTGAAGGGGTTCTGCTGGGTTGAGAAAATGGCTGGTGCCATGTGTAAGTGGTGGTGAAGAGATGTGGGTGAATTATCACCACATCCTTTCTGACAGTGGTGAAGTTCATGCCCCTTGCAGAGGATTAGCGTGATGGTGTGTCATGGTGCCCAGGGGTCAGGACCTCTTATAAAAGGGGCTGCTTTTTGGTGTGAGATGACAAGTGAAGTAACAAAGTGTGTGTAGGGGAAACAGAGGGGTTCCTGAGCCAGCAAAGCAAAGACAGTTGGAGAAGATACTGCTTCAGGTAGTATCACAGTTGAGCAATGAAAATCATCTCCTTGTCCCAGCTGGCAAATGAAATGCCTGGTAGGTACATGTTATGTTCCACCTTGTTGGCAAAGGATCTCTTATCGATAAACGTGTGACTTCCCATGTATGTTGTTGAATATGCAGGACTGTTGCAGAAGTTTGCATTGTTACATAAACTAAAGAACATTTTGTAGTGGGCCTTTTGCTGTGAATTCTTATGTTTACAAGTACATCTGAAAAATTCATAACTTTGTATCTGAGATGAGTCAAAAAAAAACTTCCAGGGATTTATTAAGTTTTTATTTAGTTAGCTTTTTATTATTTGGTGTCTGAGCCGCAACCTATATTCTTGGAAGTCCTATTTGAGAAGTAAGCTAAATACGCTTTCAGAAATGTTCTTTTTCTTAACAGTCATAAGAGCAAAACAAGCTTTGAAAATAAAATGACAGTTAAAATGAGCGTTGACAATGCAAAGCAGTAGTGTATGATTATAGTGTTGTTTTAAATATACCCAGTAACATTTTTAATGCATCAGAAATGGTTATCTAACTTCCCTAATTGATCTTGTAACTTATTATGATAACTGACTAAGAAAGTGAGGCTAACTTTGTGGAAGAAAAGTGTGCATTTTACAGTAGTCCTTCTTGAAGTTTCTCAAAAATAAAAAAACCAAAACCCCCATACCACAAACATGTTTCTTCTCTGAAATGCATTTTGTTCTGTTTATCAACTAGATTGAGAAAAATGATTGCATTGGATCAAAAGAATTGCTTATCGCAATTTTAGGTTGTAGCATCTGTTCAGAGAAAGGGAAGGGGACAAGATGCAACTTAATTTTATTAGAAATGTAGGAAGAATGAGATTTTTAGTAAAGATGCTTCTATTTCAACAAGCTTGCTATTGGGTCTTGGGATAAGCATGAGTAAGATATGTGCTGGTGTCTTAGCAACAAAACAGATGTGAACACAGTGTTTTAAAATCTGGCAGCATAGAGGTGATCACTGCTTGTCTGAGTAGTGATGTGCCTTCCTCAAAGTCAATAAAGCTGCACCGGTCTAGAGCAGGACTTGTGCCATGATAGATAAATGTATTTAACTTGGATATTTTCTTCTCATTCATTTTTGCTTCTTTACACAGGGAGTGAAGTATCTGTGCATTCCGGCTGCTGACTCACCCTCGCAGAACTTGTAAGTTTTCTTTAAAAATAAATCACAAAATCCCAGAAATCCCTTAGTACTGTGATGCCCGTTTTACAATGAGCTGAAAGATCCGATTCTGATCTCTCAGAAGTATTACACAGATGTGGTTTTTAATCTGTTAAGAAAACACAGTTAACACTTAATTCCAGCCACCTTAGTTCAGACCCTGCCTTTTGTGTATAAGGGTTTGTAGGAGAGTCAGTATCTAAACACTCTTCATTTGTGGCCTTAAACTTCAGGAATTCCTTAGCGAGTCTGCTCCTGATTTAGCCCCAGTTATTGTAGCCATTGTTGGTTTTTTTGTTTTAAATCTTTTTGTTTGGTTGTTCTTTTTTGTTACCGCTATCTCCAGCCATTAACAAAAAGAAAATATTTAAAAGAGGTATGAAGCCTGGTGCTTCAATGGTTGGAATAAATTCCTCGCAGCGGGCCCTCAAGATAAAGTCCCAGTGTGCAAACTGCCCCTGCCAACTGTCTGCTCTGGACTTCTTGGACCTGCCTCAGAAGGTCCTAATGTTTTTAGCAGTAGGCTGGCACGGTGGGGAGTTTCTGCCCTGCAGTGTCTCTTGCCTTGGGGATATATGTACTGAAACTATGGTGTCCCAGCCTCACTCTTTCTCATCTCTGCTAATGTTCACAAAATGCTAATTGACTTGCCCTTGGTTTTAATGTTTTGAACCATTAAGCCTAGCAAGTCTTGATTCCAAAGAGAAATCAAAACAGGTTTTGTAAGAGAACTTGGATGGTGACCAACTCTTTCTTCTAGAGCTCACTGTTTATGTTGGGGAGAGGTGCGGGGGGTTTCAGCCACATCCTGCTACCAAGTTTTGTAAAGAAACGAGTATTTGAAAGAGCCTGGTAGGTACGGAAGGAAATGCAGCACTGCTTTTCTCTCACATCGCAGCAATATTCCGGCTCATGCTTTCGGGGTATATTTTTAGAGTATGTGTTTCTCGTACTCTAGAAAGATTCCAGCATGGCATTTGATGTGTGGTGATTTGCTTTTCATTCTGTATTTCTGTCTTGATTTTAGGGGAAGGGGGGCAAAAAAACCCCACCCCAACCCGCAGTAAAAAACACAACAAACTCCTAAATTTCAAGACAGGTCTGTAGTGAGAAAGCAGATAGCTAATTGCCTTTGTCATGGGCAAGTTTTGTGGCCTGAATAATTAAATAAAAAGAAATCAATGTTAAAAAAATCCTTTTGGGAAGATAAAAATATCAGATTAGAGGGATACATTGACATGCCATTGTAATTGCTTGTTGGTGTTCTGAGATGTGTAGCATTTGTGAAAATGTTTTGCAAATCTCCTTCCTTTGTTAATAGAGATCTGGATCAATTTGGAATGGAAATAGAAAGGATGGCGTTTGTATTGAACATTAACCAATGTTCAATGCAGCCCCCTCCTTCACTGTTTGAAAAAACCCCTCTGTCGCTTGAGCTGCCTGGCACTGTACCAAAGCTCTTAAAGCATCAGTAAGAAGATACAATATTTGCATGAGTATTGTTTCTGTTATGCTGCAGGCATCTAAAATACTTGCTTTGGTATCAGGTGGTTTCAAGCAAACGTCATTACTTCTAATACTGATACGTTTTATCACTTAAAATAAAACTTGATGAGTAACTGACTTTTCTTTTTTGCTTTATACAGTCCTGATCTTCAAGTAAAATCAAATCATGATGCTTGCAAATAGCAATGTTGCTTGATTGCACATACAATCTTCTGAAAGCAAGGGGAAGCTGGCTTTGTTCAGTCTGGGAGGATTTGACACAATCCTATCTAGGAGCACTCCTATCTACTACCCGCAGGGAGGGAGGGGTAGCTGGGGAACAAGAAAGGGAATTTGTCCCCCTGCATCATCTTTGTGTATCTATCTTCTTTCAGAGGAGGAATTCTAGTGGTGTCAGGAAAAAAATAGCAGCATCCTATATTGCAGGTCCTTGTGTTTTCTTTGCAATGGTTGATGGGCACAACTGACCAGGTACACACTGCTGTTTTGTATGTCTCTCAACAGCAAGGTTTATAGAGGGTTTGCTGTTACTTTACAACTGCTGGCAGGTTGATAACGTCCAACTGAAAGTTTTTACTCACTGAATTTTGAGGCTGTGAGCTCTTAATTTGCTTCAGCTCAGTTTTTCTGAGGGGAAACTTCTGATTTCTCATGTGTGTAACGTACACTGATTCCTATTAAGCTTGTTTAGGAGCTCCCTTCCTCAGAGGAATGAATTGCCAGGGAAATACAGAAGGGATTCCCCTGTTAACATGTGGGTATTCACTAAAGCATCTCAAAACCTTGCTTCTACTCTCATGTTCTGCCCCTACCAAGCATAGGAATCAAGCAGTTGCTTTTGAGATTCGAAGTGCTTCCTAGCTGTTAAATGAGTGTTTTCCCTGGACTGTGAGAATTTTACCATAGGGCTTTGACTTCTCCAGAAATGTCATGTCATACAGACCCTGTTGCTAAAAAGGTAATTCTATAAAAATCAAATCTTCCCTTCCTGTCCTGTTCCAGCTAATTGTCATAAGCTACATGTTTCTAAGTAACTAACCTCCAACGGTCAAGACTGTTAGCGGTGATAATACAGAAGCCAGATAACCTATTAAGAAATTTAGGTGGATTTTTGTTGCATTTACATAGCCTTCTTACTATCTGTTTTGAATGCTTTCTTTTTAACCTTTATAATATTCGTAGAAGTCTGACTAGCAATGAATGAATATGTAGATTGGCTATCATAACTGTGCCCTCAGCCTAGTTTTGGATTATCCAGCTTGCTAATGCATAAGTTTAGCTGACTTTTACAACATGCTGGTGGAGGCACTGTACTGGTTCTTCTTTCTGTGGTGTTTTCCCACTGTGAAGATGATGCAGTTCGGGACCCAGCTTTAAGCTGGGAGATGTAAAAGCCAGATAGCATGTAATAAATTGTCTTGAAGTAACTGTTTAGTCCAACAAATAAGCTGCAAATCAACACATTTGTCAAGTGCTTTCCTGTTACAGATGATAATCAACTGTTCTGTGGTTAGTGTAAGACTTGCCATTCTTCTTTGTGTCTGGCCTTTACTACACAGCTAACTGGTCCTCAGTCTTAGTTTTCGTGAGAGACCTCGGTACCATAGGGTTGTGGAGGAGTAGTACATTTCTCCTTTGCTCTGACTCAAGGTGAGGAGGAGCCATGGTTCTGCAGAGCAGCACAAATTCTAGACTTGGCTATTTCTCTTCTCGTTTTCATGAATGCCTTTAAACAGACTTGACAGTGTGTCAGCAGACCCAGTGTCAGCAAGAAGGAAGGGTGAATAAAACTGAGTGAATGGAGTTCACTGCTAGCTATATTTAGTACCTTGCAAAGGTGTTATGCTCATTCACAGATATTTTTCAAACCAAAGCATTGAAGTGTTTAACCAAAACTTGTGCTAGACCATTGAAATGAATTCACTGGTGCTTGGAGCTGTGCTGTCAGCCGGGTTTTCTAGAGGGAAAGAGAAAAGATGGATGTATGAGAAGATTGGGAAGATGTCAATCAAGCCCTAACCAAGTTTCATTTGAAGGAATTCATTCAGTCTCGGATCAGTGCTCCTTCATTGTGCAATAGCAACACCTCCTGCACACACAGCCAAATGTCCTATTTGTTCCCTGAGCTCACTTGAAGCTGCATGTGTCCCGCAGGCAGACCTGAGCACCATGATTTCTTAGAACTCAGCCAGTAAAAATGTTTTGGAGCAGCAATCAGAGTAGAAATGCTTTTGTAAGGCTTCCTCCCTTCACTCATTCTACATACTTGGTCAGTTTTTTGAGAAGCATAAAATCCTGAGTTGACTTCCTGCCCTAAAGCTTGGGGTTGTGTCATGCCTTGAGGTTTTCCAAATAAGTTACCCAGCACTTTTCCGGCTGTATTCTCTGTGTTTTATCTGGTGATGCAAGAGGGAGTCCTGGGCTTTGGGATTCCTGGGCTTTGGGATTCCTCTTTTGGGGTATTTCAGCTTAGCATTACCTTTGCAAGTTCCACAGGCTCTGCCACTGTGTTGCATCACTGTTGTCCTCCTCCGGGTCTGAGTGTTTATAGTATCAGCAGCTGCACTGTTGGGCAGGAAGGAAAGCTTCCTTTTATGTGGGTATTCCTGATTTTTGTGTGGCTGCTGGTGCTGCGCTGAGGTTTTTTTCTTTTACCCTTGTGGTATAATATTCACCCTGAGAGGGGAAACATCTTGAATACAGGACGTTGTGTTTCATGGGTGTTGAGCGCGGTGTGCTTTCAGGTTCATCTTTGCCGACTGCCCCTTCAGAAGGTCTCTCCTCTGTCTGTGTCACATGCATTGCTGCTGCTTGTGAGCTTGAAGAGCACTGAAAGGCCACAGTATTGAACCAAGAGGTGCTGCTTGCACCTATGATAAACTGCAGGCAGCCCCAAAGGCTTTGCAGTCTGAAAGGCAGAGGCAGGACGAGCAACTTGGGGCTGAGATGCAAAGAGGTGATGCTGCAGATTTGCTGAGATGATGGACAGCTGGCCAGTTACTTCCCTTCCTATCTGCCCCGCTTACAGTGAAGAGACATATGTAAAGGATAATGAGAGTACAAACCTTAAAGTTTGTAAACTGAGTCTTTATCTTCTCCACGTCTTCTCCGATGTGGCTAGAAAAAGGGTAGGCTGTAGGCAGGGTCTGGCTGACACCCTGAATAAGGGCAGCCAGGAGGGGTACTGCACTCTGAGGGGAGGAGGCTGGAAGGAGCTGAAGAAGCCAGGGCTTGACTGAGAGTTTTTTCACAGTAAAGACAAAAGCGAAAGACTTCATGCTGAAAGAAAAAAATCGTAACATTTTGATGTGTCCTAGTACATGGTTTGGAGGAGGAGGTGAAGTCAAAATTAAGCTTAAGTTTGGTAGCGGGTAGTGGATGCCTCTTTGTGAGAGATGATATACCTTAACTGTTCGTGTAGCTGTACTGAGTTTCATCTGACATCTGAGCATATGCAAGAACATACGAGATCAAGTTACTAGTTTAAAGAGGAATAAAGCACAAACTGAAATTCAGACTTGACAGTCATTGGAATAAAGTGTTTGTTAATGTTTATCACGTTGTAGTACCGAAGGTACCAGTTTCGTCTTCAGGTAGAGTGGAGAATAACTATGCCAGTGAGTATTGTGTTTCATTGGCAGACACTGACTTTTACCTTGTATGACCTGTATTCAGTTCTAAATTCTAGAAACAGTGTTAAATGAGCTTTCGGATACATTTCTCTCTTTCTAAGTAGTGATTTTACTAAATACTTTCTTTATTTCTACTTTCTTTATTCCCCTTCTGCTTCTGTTTTCAGGGCAAGGCATTTCAGAGAGAGCATCAAGTTTATCCATGAGTGCCGCCTTACAGGTGAAGGCTGCCTGGTTCATTGGTACGTATACTGTTCACTGAAAAGGCTTCTTAAAGGTTTCTCTACCTTCATTGGATGTTCGTTATTTTAATAAGTTAATGTTCATCTCCATATTACGGCAAAATCTTCTTAGACTGAAATGCCCCTTTTATTTTAAGAGCCTGAGAAGATTTGCAAATGCTATTAAAGCCTCATGCTAAGACTTTTGAGTCACTGGGGTGGGCAGCTGCCTGGAGATAAAAGAAGTCCAAGAAATTCTTCTTGACCTTCCCTTCTTATCAGACCTTTTTGTAGGATTGTTTTTACTAGAAATGACAAGAGACAGATTATTTATTTCCCATTATTTTAGTCACAATTGTAATAATTGTAATAATTTTATTAGTTTCTATAACAGCTATTTTGGTGACTTCAGAGTTGTTAAAAAAATAATTTTCCCCTGAACACAAATTGATTTTTTTTTCCTCTTTTTTCTTTAAACTGGTGAAGCATTCAAACGTTGCATTTGTAAATAGCAAGTCTCTGATTGGAGGGATGCTTCTGGGACTGTAGAGAATAGAAGAGGAAATCCCACCCTGGGTTTTTTTCTTGCTCTGTGCTGTCGGTTGTAGTCTTTGTGCTGTATGTCCAAGTGACATATCTGAGTCTGTATCTGTAATCACAGTCATCTTGTGATTTAAACACTGGACTTGTACGCGGGCCCTGAGCATGGATCCTCAGTTTGCTACCGACTCGTGATAGCGCTGGGCACAAGTCATTTGGTCCATCTCCGTGTATGTAAAACAGGGATATTTTGTCTGAATTCTGATAGAGTTTTAAAAAACACATTTAAATTTGTGAAGCATTTCAAAAGCACAAAATGTTCTTGAAATGCCAAGTGAAAGTCTGGCACAAATATAACTCAAACACATTTTTTTTTTATACTCATAATAGTAATGGTTGTGAGGCTTTTTTTGTCCAGTGCTGTCAAACCAGTAACAGTGAATGATTCTTACTTTATCCCAGCATTTCACGTAGGGAAATTGGAGTATTGAGAGTTGAAGTTGCACAGTGCCTGGATAGCAGAAAGAGGAAAAGAGCTCAAGCAACCAGACGTACTGTAACAGTTCAGTTAAAGTTCACGTCAGCCCCATGAAATTGAAGCCTTTATTCACGGTGGAGAGGGAGCAGTCTTACTTAACTGCTCTGATCTGTACAGGCAGAAGAAAGTGGGTGACATTTCCAGCTTATTAAAAGCCAAATCTAACTTAGAATGTGTGCGCTGTCTCCTGGTTTTGTGCAGACTTAATACTCACTTCTTTCTTTCCAGTCTCATGAATTAGCACTCAGAACCCGCTTTCTTGGTCTCGTCATAGGTTTGTTCTGAGGCATTCAAAAAAGCAGGACCACTAATAATGTAATATTTCTTCCTGGTGGCAAGCAACACAGCAGCCTGCTGCGATGCTGGGAAGTGATGCTTTGGACTGTGATAGGTGAAGTACAGCACTACTTCAATTTATTGCTCCTCCTTTTTCATTCAGCCTTGCGGGTGTCTCCAGGAGTGTAACGTTGGTGGTTGCCTACATCATGACTATCACAGACTTTGGTTGGGAAGATGCACTGTCTGTTGTCCGTGCAGCGAGATCCTGTGCCAATCCTAACATGGGCTTCCAGAGACAGCTACAGGACTTTGAAAAACATGATGTTGATCAGGTAAATGCACTACACACAAAAGAGCTGTAAAACACAACCCCCAAGTCTCAGATCATGGGCTACTTCTCATTATTTTGGGGCCCGGGTGGTTTATCTGACTCCCTTTTTTCGCTTTGAGGGAGTAGCTTCTTTGCCAAGCCTGCTCCGCATGGGAGATGCAAATAGCACTGAAGGTATCAGGGAATTCTGGATGGGAGAAGAGACGAAGCTGTGCTCTCAATCCAGTGATTGCTTAATGTGTGCTAAGACACAATACAAGACTGACACCTTTAGAGGGGTAAAAACTAAAGACTGAGATGCTCAGAATTCAACAGAGCGACCAACCTATAAGTACTAGTTGCATAAAAAATGTGAGTTTCCCCCCAACACATTCATTTGGAATAGTAAGCAGGAAAGAAATCATAATCAGAAACCTTATCCAGGAGTTAAACTAGGTTCTGATTATGACTTAAGTGTTGTGTTTCCCCTCCACTTTCTATGGCTGAGACTTTCTGATGTGTAGAGCAGTCTCAAATCTGACCCTTTGTTTCTTCTTAACCTTTGACGGTTCTGTAGGACTAGGAGAATTGAGGGAACAGTAAGACTGCGAAGTGGTTTTCATAACACAAAAATGAGTTTCTTACCCTTAAAAAGAACCATCCCACGCAAAAGACCTGCTCCTCGTGGGTGATCGGTGACTTCCACTTATGTTAACAACCTACTCTGGCTGTCCCCTCTGTTTTCCATTGCTCAGCATGTTGCTGTTCTCTGGGCTCTTGTGCCTATGGTGCTTATTAAAAACCAACAACAACAACAACAGAGGCAAACCAAAATCGGAAAGCAAAATACATGGTGGCAAGCAACACAGCAGCCTGCTGCGATGCTGGGAAGTGATGCTTTGGACTGTGATAGGTGAAGTACAGCACTACTTCAATTTATTGCTCCTCCTTTTTCATTCAGCCTTGCGGGTGTCTCCAGGAGTGTAACGTTGGTGGTTGCCTACATCATGACTATCACAGACTTTGGTTGGGAAGATGCACTGTCTGTTGTCCGTGCAGCGAGATCCTGTGCCAATCCTAACATGGGCTTCCAGAGACAGCTACAGGACTTTGAAAAACATGATGTTGATCAGGTAAATGCACTACACACAAAAGAGCTGTAAAACACAACCCCCAAGTCTCAGATCATGGGCTACTTCTCATTATTTTGGGGCCCGGGTGGTTTATCTGACTCCCTTTTTTCGCTTTGAGGGAGTAGCTTCTTTGCCAAGCCTGCTCCGCATGGGAGATGCAAATAGCACTGAAGGTATCAGGGAATTCTGGATGGGAGAAGAGACGAAGCTGTGCTCTCAATCCAGTGATTGCTTAATGTGTGCTAAGACACAATACAAGACTGACACCTTTAGAGGGGTAAAAACTAAAGACTGAGATGCTCAGAATTCAACAGAGCGACCAACCTATAAGTACTAGTTGCATAAAAAATGTGAGTTTCCCCCCAACACATTCATTTGGAATAGTAAGCAGGAAAGAAATCATAATCAGAAACCTTATCCAGGAGTTAAACTAGGTTCTGATTATGACTTAAGTGTTGTGTTTCCCCTCCACTTTCTATGGCTGAGACTTTCTGATGTGTAGAGCAGTCTCAAATCTGACCCTTTGTTTCTTCTTAACCTTTGACGGTTCTGTAGGACTAGGAGAATTGAGGGAACAGTAAGACTGCGAAGTGGTTTTCATAACACAAAAATGAGTTTCTTACCCTTAAAAAGAACCATCCCACGCAAAAGACCTGCTCCTCGTGGGTGATCGGTGACTTCCACTTATGTTAACAACCTACTCTGGCTGTCCCCTCTGTTTTCCATTGCTCAGCATGTTGCTGTTCTCTGGGCTCTTGTGCCTATGGTGCTTATTAAAAACCAACAACAACAACAACAGAGGCAAACCAAAATCGGAAAGCAAAATACATGAAGCAAAGGATGTTGTGCTTTTTTTTTTTTATTCCATCCCTGTCATTCTGCTGCAGAAAGCTCAGAGTTTAGAAATTACCCTTTGTTTTGCATGATGCAGTTTGCAACTGTAAATATTTGCGTTTTTTTAATATTTAACTGAATGTTTCCTGGATCGTTTGGAACTGGTGTAAATTGTAGAGCAACCGATTTTTAAGAGACAAGAGTCAGTGGGGGACTTTCCAGAGTTGTCTCCTTCCTCCCTTACAGTCATTTCTACTCTAATTGGTCTGGGCTAACAGCAATGACAATTAAGGCTATATGCAAATAGCCTGATAAAGACAGTAACGTCTCTCTTTTTTCATCCACCATGGACGGCACATTCTGCCTTTTTTCACTGAGGGGGAGGCAGTAGGTTGCAAAAAGAAATATCCACCTGTAGTCACTGGCCGCGCTGTAGTTTCCTACTGTCTCTTAACAGCAACCACATCCTTAGCAGGTGTCTGTTTACACACCTGATTTCAGTGGAATAATGCCATCTGCCAAGGGCGTGAACTTTTTTCTGATTTCAGCAGCATGGGTGTTTTGCTGTGCCACTATATGGGGGTATCCTGTGGGCTTTCTGGAATGAGGTCCCTTAGATCTTGGTCTTACAGGAAGGGGTCACAAAGGTCATAACGTAGTTTGCACCAATTCCAAACTTCCACATGGTAGCCTGAGGCTTCAGATTTAACTCGAGATTTTACAGCCTTATAGGAATGGGAGGGAATAACTGTGGGTGAGGTCATTTCTCCCCATGTCCTAGTAAATGGTCTTATGGATAAAGCTGCCCATGAGCCCTGAACAGGACAAAGCTATCAAAGTTAAGGCTTGAAAAATGATCACAGGAATATTGTCCCCACTGGAACACAACAGTTGGGGTCTTTGTCTGCTTGCTGCTTCTGCAGAGAAGAGCGACTAGATTGTTGGGAATGACTAAGTGGACTCATTCTTCAACTGGCAAAGAAATGACAGGGAAGCATATAATAAAGGTCTATAAAGTTGAGTGGAATAGAGAAAGTGAACAGGCGTGATTTACGCTCTTTCCTGTAATGTGAGAGGAAGCTATCAATTGGCAGATCTCAGTCAAGAAAAACGAGGGGGTTTTATACAATATATACTTATGGAGCTTCTTGGTGTCCAGATATCTCATGGTAAAAAATTTGTGGATTCAGAAGGTGATCTCATGGCAGAAAAATCCATTTGTTGCTATCAAACACAAGGATATTGCCTCAGCCTCTGAAAGTTCCTGAGCTGGAAATTGCTGGAAGCTGAGGAAATAAGCAGGGAAAATATCCCAGTGTTTTTGTCCTGTGGTTGCCTGATTATTTCTTTTGCATTTACATCTGGCTGCTCTCATGCCAGGATGCAGAGCTGGACTGACCTTCAGCTAGCTGGACCTGGTACATCTGTTGCCAGGTAGCGTATTGAGCTATTTGTATCAGTAACATATAGGGTCCTATTCTATAGCTTTTAAAGCCCCTGGTCTTTTTCTTCTAGAAGATGCCTTTCCTGATTACCTACAGTACACTTTTTTACTATTGGTGTTTGTGGGCTCAGGTTGAAAAACCCATATGAGTGGTTCACTTTCTGATCTTCAGCCTTCTTGTGGCCTGTTGTGGCTTGGGCAAGTTGGCTGATCATATTAGCTTCCACGCTTATTCATCTCGTTGTATATGCAACAGGAGGAGGGTGCTTGTAAGTCCAGGACATCCTTGCCTGGTGGGTGTTTCTTACTCCATATTCCTCCAGTCAGCCATGCTGTTACACAGGTGTGTGATTTTAGGGGATATAAGGATCTCTGGGATTTCAAATGCATGTTCCTGATCCTGTGTATTCTGTGCTGTTATTGAAGGACATGCAGTATTTGGAGCGCTCCTCTTTAAACTACTTGTGTTCTTAAAGGCTCTTGAAATTCTGTAGTAACTGCATCAGTCTCATGTTATTATTTTGTCATGTTGTATATGTATGTTCAATTTCTGCAGTTCAGGCAGTGGCTGAAAGAAGAATATGGGGAAAACTCTTCTCAGGATCTGCAAGAAGCCAAAAGTCTACTGAGCAAATATAAAGAGCAGGCAGAATTGCAGCAGAATACTGGAGGAAGACAGTGGAATAACAACTTCTCATCTGTGCCCTCTCTCTCATACAGCAACTACACAACAGAGACCTAATCGTAGGAGGTTGATTTTTCTTCTTTCTACCTTTGAAAAACATCTTGCCATAATTTCCATCCCATCTTCAAGACTCAGCAGTAATCATGCAAACAGTTGATTTGTAGAAAGCTTCTTGATGAAAATACTACATTATGTGTGTGTGTGTGTGCGCGTATGAGTGTGTTTCACGCAGTTTTATGATTTGGGCAGGATCAAGCTCTCTGTGTGCCCAGAGGCATGATCCAGTTACTGTGGCTGAGCCAGTTTGTCAGTCAGCCACAGCTGTTACCCCCTTATGCCCACATTGCCTGGCATTTGCCGTGAGGTTAGCTCAACTCCTTTCATTGTAGGCTAGCAAAGGGCTCCGAGAGATGAAGTCTGGTGATTCAAGCTGTGGCAGTTTGACATCTCCGCACTGTTAACGTGGCAAAAATGTTATTGCACCTGAAGAAGGGCACTCAAGTCTGTGTCTCTGCTGCTCCTGTTCACAGTCCATTGGCAGGTAATACTGCGGGGGTGGGCTTGAACTTGAATGCTAGGCTGCAAGCAGGAGCAGGCGAGATATGGGTACACGTATCTTTCTATCAACAGTAGCATCTAGGAGAGAAGTGGGACAGACAGCTCTGAGTAATAACATCTTCAACTGCCACAGTTGTACTTGCTTCAGTGCACGTGAGACAGAGCTGTCGGTGGAACTGCCGCAGACCAAGAGCTCCGGGACTGTTACCACAGCTCAGCTGACGTGCAGTGATTTAAGCCGTGGTCCCTTGGTTGTGCATCTGGTCTCCCAACATCAGCTTCGCTGGAGAGCAGTTTGTCAGGTCTCCAGGGCTGCTGAACTTCATTCCCCGTGGAACACGTGCCTCTTCAACACACGCCCCTGCGCACATGATAACGTGTCTCCAAAGAGTGGGCTCGGTGTGAGTGCGAGCACCTGTTTCTTTGCTTGTGCTGTGGTTTGCTCTTTGACTTCAGCTACCTCAAAGATGCTGTTCTTGTCATTGTGGTTGTAAATGCAACCTTGAAAATTGCCTTGTGTAATCTTAATCTGACACTGAGTGAAGTAAGTAGGTGTGTGTGTGTGTGTGCGAGAGTGTGTGTGAGCGTGTATATTTCACAAATGTCTCTATTTGAAAATTTTATTGTTTTCTTTTAAAACCGCCCATATTTCTCACTGGCTTAAAATTTGAGTTGTTTAACTTCAACTTTCTGCCATTTTAATACCACTATATATTTTGCGGTGATCAGATTTGTAGGAATGCATTTGTAAAATATATTTTAAACTAGGTTAAAACTAGGGGCCATAATCTGCTCCTGGTAACGTTGTGTGTTTCTGGAATGGAGCCATTGCCTGACTCAAGTATATTCTAAGAGTGTAACTTCCAATATGTCACCAGGGATGCTGGGCAGCATATTGATTTCTGATCGTGTAATGGGAGGTGGCACTGATACCAAGATCATGGTTTCTTATCTTTGACTCAGAGGATGAAAGGCCTGTTTTTCTTAAAGATTCCAGAAAATAAAAAATACCTCCCAATCAGCCAGGATATTTATAAAAGAGAAAAAAAAAAAACTTCCATCATTTGTTTAAATGTGGTGTGTCTATCATGCTGAAAGCTGAGCACTGAGTGAGAAGCAGTCAGCGTACTAAATAGGCTGTTGTCACTTTCAATTCTTTGGTACTCTGACCTCCCATCTCTTCATAAAATTCCTCTTCAGGTGACTTCCTGCTTGCTTTGGGTGGCAGCGAATTCTTTCGATGGGAGAAAGGCTTTTGGGGTCAAGTAAGCTCTGGCTGTTTGATATCTGTTGTTAAGTATCTTCAAAAAATATGTGTTATGGCTTGTGAAGTGTGGATCTCGCATATCAGTAATTGCCAAAAAGGAAAAAAAGGGAATGGAGCGGAACTGGCTTGACCATTTCACCTGAGTCCAGGCCTGCATCAGGATTCTCCTTGCACTAAGGGCTTTAAGTGTACTGAGCACAGCGAGAGTAGGATAATACAGGATGCTGTTGGATTTGGGAAAGATGCTGGAATTGACTTTGTTTTCAAGCTTGTAGCTAAATGAACCACTACCTAGTTGGGATATCCAGCAAGTCTTCTGCGTTTGCCTGGTAACAGGAATACTTGGCTTTTCTCAAAGATGTTGATCTGCAAATAGTTGGCTGCTTAGGAATCCCAGCACAGCAGTCCCCTCCGTGCTCTGAGGGCAGATATGGCAATTGCAAAACACTTTCCTCACTAACAGGGTCCCACGTGTTCAGGATGCTGGTCTGTTTATTCAGCCCTCTCCTCCTTGTGGTATCAACCTTGTGAGCGCTGGTAAATTGACCAGTCTTTATTCTGTTCTGACAAATAGAAGGCAAAATGGGAGACATCTGTTAATGATCGTGTGTCCGAGATTATTCCATACTGGATATTTTTTTAATAGTTTGGTTGTCCCCAAGGAGTCAGTCCCACAAATATATATGTTATTTTTGTTTTAGAACGGAGTTTGGCTTTAGGGCCATATAGCCCCATCAGTGTGCATTATGCTGCAGCTCAAAAGCAGATACAGGGTAAAGCAGGAAGACGGAGGGTGTGCCATATTGTCAGCCAGTGGAAGTGCTTCTCTCTTCTTTTTTTAAAAGACAGAAGTGGTGTTTTCTGTATTCTCTTGCTTCTACATCTTGTTCAGTGGTCTGTATTTATTTCATACTGCATTTAAGAGTGGGAAAAGAGCAACAGCAGTCTCAGAATCTTGTTTCTGGTTTGTCCACGTAGGGAGCAGAATGATAGTTTACTCCTTTATTACCACAAGGTGCAGAAGAGAGAGTAGCTACAGGTCTCACCTTTGGCCTTTTAGAAAGTGAGAGGAGTTAACACAGACTGAGAACGTGACATGATTTGTCTTCCAACCAGCCTTTCAGTGGCAGTTTGTAGGACTTCCCAGCTATCTGGAACATGACTAGACCCCAGTCCACCTCCTAGTAGCTGGCCTTTATAGTGTAGACGATGCGTTCAGTTATTTTGTTTCTGTACTTCAAAGCATTGTCCTCATTTTGATGTTCACTGGAAAATGTATAAAGTTTATAACACCTTATTGGATATCCAGATTTGAAATGTATAATCGATTTTTTGGGGGGCTAAACTTGATATCCATGTGTGATTATAAACAAATGTTTAGTGTTATACAATGTAGGTAATGGGTAAACACGTTAGTATTTATTACCCTGATTTTTAACCTGGAAAGAGTTGCTTCCTTACATTTTGTGGTTGAGTGGGAAGATATGGCAAATCATATCTCTGTTTTTTAAAGAGGACAGTAATAACATTTGTTGCTATAATGGCCACTGCCTATAAAGAAGTCAGTGGAAAAATTATAGTAATTACTTCAGCTAGTTTAAAATCTCTAAACCTGGTAAGCTTCTTGATTCTCTGTCTTCCTCTTCCTGGGCATCTTAGTGAAGCCTTGATTGCTTTTTCCAAATGTTTGTATTTAATACGTTCTACAATTTTTTTATAAATAAAAGTAAATGTTAACACCTGATCTGCTTGTGTATTTCTTGAAATAAGTAATAGTCTCTGGAAGGTTTCTACTCACTGTTTGCATCCCTGTAGGTACAGTAAGAGCACAAGATGAGCTCATTTTGGTATATAGAGTATTTTTTTCCTCCTGCACGCAGACTTCTTGATTTCCCCTCTCTTCACGAAGTTCTTCCAGGTGAGTTCAAGAGTCTGCAGCTCAAGCATCTCTTAATAATAGTCCCACAAGAGGATGTTGCCTGTTGCTCTCTTATTGTTGCTGGCCCGTCATTGTGACAAGGTAAGTGGTGAATGCAAATTTTTTATTCTTCTGAAATACATTCTTTTTCCATGGCATGCTGGTTTAGGGCTTAGCTGTAAAACTTAGCTGGTTTACAGACTGCCAAGGCTCAAAGTTCTCAGTAGTAGTTTGTCAGAGGAAGCTGATGTAAGTGGCAGATGATGACTCCTGGGGAGGAAAAAAAAATATTAAAGCTTACAGTGTAAGGGGGGCAAAAAACCCCATTTAAATTCCCACAGAAAACACTAAATTTCTGGTTTGACACTACCTCTGCTAAGAGGGTAATTCTGGCATTCGAACAACCAAAAAACCCCCTACCAACCTGAAAGTATGACCAGTCATGCCTAAGTAGCCAGATCACAGCCACTTAGCTGTTGCTGAAGGCTGAACTTTGTTCTTGCAGTGGGACTCTCATTGTGAAGGCAAAGTTAGAGGTCAGACACAATGGGATATATTTGGGTCTTTTCTTTTTGCCCTCTCCTTCCCCCCTCCCAGCTCTTGTTAGTTCATAGACCACTGGGAATGTGTGGAAGTTTCCCAGGGGATCACAGGGATTCAACTAACTAATAATATCCTCTACTAGAATAGAGTTAATGGGTCTGTAGGTAGCTTAGGATGTGCTAGATGCACCTTGTTCATAATACGTTTCAGTTCATCTTCTTCAGTGTAAGTTGGATGGCTCTGACTTTATCAATGTGTGTTTCAGTCCCTTTCCTGGTTTTCTATGAAAAGACCTTAAACTCAGTGCAGCCAGCTGTGTGAGTCCTGATTCATAGTGTAATTACCTCCTTTCTCCTCTAACCTGTCGCAGTGTCTTAGATATGTGTGCTAGAGCACTGATGAGACAGAAACCGTATTTAAAATATAAACCCTTGTGAACTAGGAAAATCTCATAAGTTCCAGAAGAGGCTTCTCCTCACCCCTAGAGGAAAACAGCAGTTTCCAAGTGAAAAATGTACAGTTGCTTTGTCTTCCTTTTGACTGCTTGGCACCTCTCCAGGGCGATTTTTATCCAAATTACATGTAAAAATTGTGCTGCAACTGTGGTGCCATACTGCTCTTCCCAACTGTAATCTCATTCAATGTTATATGTAACTGTTATGAGATGTAGAAAATGGCAGTTCTGATTTGATTCCTGTAGTCCTGTCCCACATTGCAATAAGCTGAGGGAACTGGAGGGCAAACCCACGTGTCCTCAGCTGTGCTCATAACCTGATCAGGAGTTTGGGCTTTGCCAGCAAATTATGAGAGTCCTTCCACCTCTTCAAGAAATTGTTCTGGTGGAGGGAAAATGATGATGGTATCTAGAAAATACTAGACAGCATGAGGAAGATGATCTTGCACTGTGCAGGGTTTCTGTAGAAACCCCTGGAGACACAAAGCATGCGACAGAAACAGCTATTTTCACAATTGATTCTCAGCACAGCTTTAAATGTGGCTCTTGTTTTCCATGTGCCCCAGCTCCTGTGTGTTTAACTATTTCATTGCTACATTTGGCTGCTGTTTGGTATTATTATTCCCCTCCTCACCCAGGGAACAAATTCTTTTTAAAAGATGGTTGAATGTGTGCTTTGCTCTAGCGAATTATGCAAACTGCAGTTTACCAAAACTGAGTGGCTTGTGAGTAGCAAGATGACTTCCTGTAATTTCCATGTAGCTTCTGGTGTAATTATTAGGAGTAGGCATCTGATGAAGTGTGAGCAGGAGGTGCCTTTTTGCCATTGAGCTCCTGCATAGCTCCGTCTTTGTAGGAGACTCAATTCTGCTTGTGTGAGCCGTACGCGCTGATTAAAATTCATTTGCAGGCGGTCTCAAAAAATGGGATTTTTCAGCCAGACCTGCACCCAGTTTCCATTTTAGTTGAGACAATTATGAATGTGCAGGTTTGTACCCTTAATTATTCATTGAGCTATGAACAGAGGGGTAAGAACAAGACATCCAAGCTACTTGAAGTGCAAAGTGGTTTTAAGTTGTTTGCTCACTTGGTCATCTGTTCACACAGGCATTAGCCAACACGGCTTTAGATCTGGGCAGATGCGTTTAGAAATGGACCCTTTGAAGCTCTGAGTTCTGATTCCCCTTCTTTCTCTGGAAGTTTTTATCTAATTTGTCAGATAGAGGGGATGGGATTTTTGTTACCTTTTCTTCAATCTCTTCCCTTCTTCCCTTCCATCCTTTTCCTTTTTTTTTTTTCTGTGTGTGTTTTTTTTTTTTTTTAAATAACTGGTATTTGTCCTAGAGCTCTTGAGTCAGGGCGAGTGAGTGCCAATGTTTGGCTTGCAAGCAATTTATTTCCTGTAAATGTGTATTAATAAAAAAAATAATCTTACATTGTAAGGTTGCTAATTTAGTTCTTTGTGTTAACAAGTACAATTCTACTGTTTGTGCATCTGTCCTGTTTTGGTGGTGGTGGTTGTTTGCCAAGCCTGCCATGGCTTCTGTGGGTGTTGCTTTCTTCAGTAGCAGCCTGGCTCCTGTACAGCACTGGATGCTTTGAAAAAGTAACACTGATCCATGACAGTGTTCAACCTGACATTTGAAAAATTAAAAAGGGATATTTTATATGTATGCCAAAAAGCAATGTTCAGTGGTGGATCAGCATCCTGTGCAGGTTACTGATTACAAACAGCGTTTTCTTCCTCACTTTTTGAGGCAAGGTGGGACTTTGTTGAAAGCTTGGAAGTAGAAACTCTGTGTTTAGAGAAAGCATGTATTGAAGATGTTGGAATTATGGCTGTGTTTATGCATGCTCACTGCATATTTTCTCAAGGACTGTATTTTGGAAGTCTTTGCGAGTAAGTCTGCAGCATGTAACCTTCCCAGCAAAACTATCTGTGTTTAGAGAAAGCATGTATTGAAGATGTTGGAATTATGGCTGTGTTTATGCATGCTCACTGCATATTTTCTCAAGGACTGTATTTTGGAAGTCTTTGTGAGTAAGTCTGCAGCATGTAACTTTCCCAGCAAAACTACTTAGGTGATCCCTGAATGTCTCAAAAGAAGAAGAAAAGAAAAGGAAAAGAAACAACAACCAAAACAAGAAAACCTCCAACTTGAGTGCTATGCAAGCTTCGGTCAAATCCTCTGATTTTATAGATGAGATTCTTCTGTTCTTAGACAGCTTATTTACTTGCTCATGTCTGATTTGCAGTGAGGTTCTTATCAGACCTGATAAAGATCTCCATTCCTGTGCTGGAAGGTAAGGTATGTCACGCAACAGCTTGTGTGCTCTGGGTAAAGCCTCATTTTTGCAGAAGTCTGCGGCCCGGGCCCATCTGCAAGATGCAGAAGGTGCCTCTGTTGCACTCATGTGAGTTGGGTGGGCTTTTACTGGCCAGTGCTACCCTTTACCCCAGGGGAAAAAAATGACTCGTCTGTTTGAGAATCCTGAAAACCATTTGCATTTCTGCAAATCTTGGTGGCTGTGCAAGCGTACCTCTGGTGTTTCTCAGCTGGGTAATGCTGTATGACTCTACAGTTAACCATCGGTAATGAGTTTGGGAGAGGAATGGAAAAAGGTTTGTCACGATACCAAACCCACCAGGGTATGTTACAGTAATGTACTGATTCACTGCAAGTGTGCTCTGGACTTTGCGGTCACTGGAAGGATCTTAAGTACTACTCCTCTTCCTTAACCATATTTTCTTTTCAAGACACTGAGGTGGGGATTCTCACATGTTGAGAGTTGACCTTCATTTCCCCAGGGTGGTCACCTTATGTCAAGTTGATTGCACTGAAGGATATGTTTGTCTTGTGAGATCTCACACATTTCTAGCTGGGCTTTTATCCCTTAGAATTACACATCCCTGATATGCACATAAACATCCAAAATGGCGTAGAAAGGTTTACGCGAGCACCTGCGATGCATTAAGACAGGCTATGAAGTTCAATAGTTCTTTTTGATGCAAAAGTCTTCTGGTTTTGCCTTACCAAGTAAGCCAACCACCCTTGTCCAATCCATAAAATGCTGGGCTGAGAAGCTTTTTGGCATTCTGGTCACAAATCTCCTACAACCAAGTAAGCCAACCACCCTTGTCCAATCCATGAAATGCTGGACTGAGAAGCTTTTTGGGATTCTGGTCTCCTACAATTTGCTCTATGACTAGGCAAGTTGCTTCAGTTCTGGTTTGCTTCATTTTCCCAATAAAATGGGGAAGAAGCGTTACGACTTTCCCTGGTACAGCTCTGCGAAGCCCCTGATGAAAAGGGGGCAACACAACTGGGGAAGAAGCGTTACGACTTTCCCTGGTAGGGTTCAGCGAAGCCCCTGGTGAAAAGGGCTGCATCAGTGTTGGTTGTGTGTTGTTAAATGAGGTCTCTGCCCTCCATCTGAGGGGTTGTCAAAATACCTTTGTCACAGAGAGATTCTGAAGCAGAGCAAGAAGCTGTAGTGGCTTCTTGGTGCTTCTCTCAACACCTCAGTCCCACCTGCATAGGAAGTGCTGTGCTGCACAGGATGGTGGTTGGGTGTTGATGGGAATAAGGAAAAATCAGGGTCTCAGGTTTTGGCTGCTGTGTTTCAATGTGAATTACATAAAATGCGATGTCGTCATTTCTATATTGAAAAAGATGGAGTGAAGTGGAAGAGGTCCAGAGCAATTCTGGTCGTGACTGCCCTAGACAGAATTCATCCCACAGGTGCATCTGGTGAACATGAAATCTCAGGTAAAAATTAAATGGTAGGGGGATATGTGATGTGCCTGTGATGTCAAGAATGATGGGGGGCGCGGGAGGGCAAGTGGAGGAGGGATAGCATATGGAAAAAATTAAAGCGTTGGAATACCTAAAGGGAACGTGGTAAGGGCTGGTGATACACACGCTGAGATACATTCCATGCACTCCAGGAAAATGTCTGCAGGCGAAAAAAAATTTAAAAAAAATGGCAGGGAATCTCCACTGTTTCCTATACTTTGGATATATGGTTATGAGGACAGAAAAAACTGATGTCCTGATTTTCCCCTAGGCTTGTTCTGGAAAGAAAGTACATATGGCGAATGCATCTAATAAAAGCTGTTCTGGAAGAAGTGGAGGAGAAACAAAATTAGTGCCTCCTTGGCCAAGCTGCTGCTGCTACTTTTGGACTGTTTCATGGAAGACATGAATTTGATTCATTTCCAAAGACAGCCTGGAAACTCCAGGCAGCAGAGGAAGGGACTCCCCCTTGACTTAGCTGTTTTTCTCTGAATGCATTGCACTTGTGTGAAATGCAGTCAGCGCTGCTTCTTGGGTCATTTTTGGGGGAAAGGTCAGCGTGTGGGGGCTGACCCTCCGTTCCTTAGTTTGGGAGATTCGGGAGCCTTTGTGCCTTGAAACACATCAAACTTGAAGCAGGGTTGAGGAACTTGCAGTGCCTGCTGTGGGCACCTCAGTTAAAATGGAACACTCTCTTTAATTTCCAACCAGAGTAGATGCAAACTGTGTGTCGGAGAAGCCTCTGTCTTTCTACTGATGGCCAAAGTCTCCTTGATCTCTCCACGGTTTCTCCAGCACTAAGCTGGGTGATTAGGGCTGTTTCAGCCCCTCCAGGTCTCTCTCCCTCCCTTCAGGACTGAATGAAGATGGTTGCTGGACTCTGCTGTTCATTCGCTCAACAAAGCCAAACAGTTTTATCCACTTTTCATTTGAAGCACGTATATTAGGGTGGTTAGAAACTAATAGATGATTTACCTAGCTGAAAATAACCCATGTGAGGGCTGGGCTGCGGAAATAGCCGAGGTAAGAGTAGGGAGAGTATGGTTTGGTGAGTGCTCTGAGAGTAATTTGCTGGCTCTGATGGGAAACAATAATGGGGAGGAAGAGACAGTAATCAGTGAATCAATCCACACGGCTCATTTAAAAATACCTCCTTTTTTGTGGCTTTGGTTACAAGAATGCTTTGTGGGCCGCAGAAGAAAGGCATTAGTAGTTGGTTTAAACAAGCCATATTCTAATTTCACATTTTATGAAGTCCCGTGAACCTCTGAGCAAGAGAATTTCCACCTGTGTGTGTGTCAAGGGGAGAGGGAGAGCAAACGGGCAGTGGATATTTGAAGCGAGCAGTTGCAATTAAAGTAAGCAGGAGCTTTTGCAAGTAGTGCTAGATTGCGGTTAAGGAGTACATTTGCTTGAGAAGGGACAGGATGAGACGCTAGAAACCCCATTTCAATAGAAGCTATCAAGATGGTGCCGGAAGGGAATATTTGACAACGAAGTTGCATGAGACGGCCATCTTCTCCTGGGAAACGGTTAATAAATAGGGCTGGGTCTCCATCACCGAGAGCAGAACCTGCACAGTGGCAAGGATTGCCTACCCGTGCTTCAACACACGGCTTGCCCTGGCTTCCCAGAGGGCTCGTGAGCTCAGGCACAGCCGTGCCCGAATGCAGAGAGCTGGGCCAGGGTGAAGCTGATGAGCCTGCCCAGCTCAGGCTGGGCTGAGCACAGACCTGTGGGGTGGTTTGCTGGAGAACTGGATAAGGAGCACCCCAGACAACTGGGAGCTGATTGTGCACGGGTAATATTGAATGTGTTCTGTTTGGGAGAGGATTAGCCTGAAGACCTGGAGGGGAAGCTTTAAACACTGAGTGCAATCCTCAGATAAGCCTTTAATGCACGTTTTCAGAAGTCAACGATGCTTTAGGCATTTTTTTTCTTTTTAGCCACTCTTCAAAGGGGGGTGATCAGTATTCTTAGTCTGTCGTGTGTTGCTGCAGCTTTAGGAAACAGGAGCTTCACATTTCAAGGGTGATTTTTATTAGGCCCTGCAGATGCAAAGTCATTCCTGGAGGGAAGTCATAGCAGTCAGGAAAAGGAAGACCTTTATGATGATATAACTATTATTGACAGGGGGAAGGGAAGGTATGTGTGGGAAGATTTTATGAAGATTCCATTCTAGAGAGGGGTAACTTATTTATATCAACAAGGCTGCTGGTGGTCTGTAGCCTAATCTTAACCTTGCAAAAAAACTTGCAAGGTGGTGTGTTTAAAATCCTCCTGGCACCTGATGGCTTGAATGCTAAACATGACAGTTGTTTGACTTATGAGATGTCAGCTGTGATTGTCTTTGAAAGTAACACATAAAATGTAATGGAAAAGAAAAGCTGGCAGTCATTTTATGACTCTGAGTTGTTATCGAATTTCTCTTTTTCCTGCAGTCTCCTAGAGCTTTGCACCGATGATTCTCAGTTGCTGTCACTGTTGGTGTGTTGGGTGGTCATGGTGCCAGCTTGTTAAGAGCCTGAATGTGCAGAGATATAACAGATAACCTGATCTTCATGGGGTTTGTAGTGGCCTGGCTCAGTGAAAGTAGGATAAAAGCATAATGATGTTTTTAGAGGAAAGCCAGCAAGGCTTTGATTTTGGTCTGTTGGTTTCCTGTTGCTTTATCACAAGGGGAAAGCTCTACAAGCAAATAGCGGCACCTGTGGGAGTTGGAAGGAAAATTTGGAGGAACTTCCAGGAACTACATAAGTTTCCTGAGAAAAATACGGTGAGGTCGAGAGTTAAGTTTTTGTACGGGATTTTCTGAGAGGGCAGAAGAGTTGGCTAATGTTGCACGTAAACAGAAACATGAAAGGAAAAGACTCTCCTTCAAAAATTACGTTGACTATTGCATCTCAATGCACTAAAAAAAAAAACCAATAATGAAAACATGATGACTAACCAAACTGATGGTTTAAGTCCAGAGTGTATAGACTAACTGGCTGCTAGTGAGCTGTACCTGGCAGTGCAATGGTTACAGTGCCGTTGTAATACTTTCAGTGAGGAGTGGGAATATGAGGAGAGAGCATGAATGCATGGGCTGGGAAGAATTAGGATTTGCAGACTGAGACTACATAAACCCTTGCTGGCATCTGATGTTCTCCTGCACAGAGGGAAGCTAGTCCCAGCTTTTCATTCTTCGTACTGATATTTTGTGCTTTAAAATCCTGCCTACACGGAGGGGCGAGAGGAAGCCAAAAATGCAGCTGGAAAATGATGTTGCAGATGGACAACCTCTGCTCCCTTCAGCTCCGAGGAACTTGATTAAAGTGTGCACCAAGTTGAATAATTTTTTTCTGGGATCTGCAGGTATAATATGATTTTTATTTTTTTTTTATGCTGTTTAGTGGCACCAAGAGTTATCCTCATCCCGAGGTACTGGAGGCAGCTGTGCTTGTTGTCAGTCCTGTGCACCATAGATGCTTCGTGCATTCATAAACTGAAGACAGAGGTGACTGCTGCTTCTGTGCCACTCTGTATCACTTCTCCATGCTGGAACAACCCCATTCTACCCTACAAACCTTCCTTGGATGGTCTCTGTGGTCTGGAAATGTGAGTTAGTGTTTTAAAATGTAAATTTATAGATTGGGAGTTTCCAAAAGGGATCCTTTCAAGCTCTGGCAAGCATCAAAATTAAGGAAGCTTGGTTCAAGGGGACCTTTGTGGGAAGAGGAAACAATTGGTGCCAAGCAGAGCTGGAGCAACCCTTGTAATATAGGTTCCCAAATGAGCCTTGGGCAGCAAGTTCTTGAGTTTCCTGTCAGACATTTCTTTTTTTTTTTTTTTTCTAATGAGGACAGCTTGTCCTGCTGCTTCTCCAACAATATAGTATGATTTTCATTTGCCTTACAAAAATTAAGCACCCATCCTTGGACCTCTCCTAGTCCTCAGTAGAGAGGACTTTATCTGACTGTCTGATGTGGAAATGCACACCTATCCCAAACATAGGATTACTGGGGTATCTATCTAGATGCTGCTCTCTCTAACATACTGAGTTACATTACAAATAAAATGGATGTTGGTCTAGGTTTCAGGCTGGAGTTTAGGTGGAGAGGGATGAATCTCTGTCCTGGGACTGCTGTCAGTAATATGGTGCTGCCAGTGCTGTGGAGGCTTGGAAGTAACTGTGCCAGTAAAGCCCTCACCCCAGAGATGCCTCAGAAGCCCGGTACGTGTGCCATTTTATGCACAGCATTTATCATAACTCAAGAAGCACTGTGCCAGCAGGAGATTTTGTCCACATGCCTTTAAATGCTGCTGTCTGTCCTTTTCAAAAAATCTTTTAAAAAGTCATTGCCTTGTAGCTTGGGAGGGAAACCTCATAATTCACAGCTGCTGGGGCAGTATAGCAGCAGGCAGCCCCCTGCATTGGCAGGACCAGGACTGTCTGTCTCTCTAAGACAGGCAGCTCCTGGCCCGGACACTTTGAGCCCAGTGAAGCCAGTGGGGAAACTCCTCCTGAGCTCACTGACAGCAGGATTTGGCTTTTGGCTCTTTGAGTAGCAGTTTAAGGCCACCAAGTGGCCATTTCTTTCTTCTCCCCCTCTCTCCCCCCTGCCTTCTCCAGGCAGCCAGCTGCAGGACCAGCCTGGTGGAAAGGCTAATGGAGTAATAAAGAGATGCAACAGGGTTTTGCCTTTCATAAGATGAAATTGCATTGCTTCTCCGCTTCTCGTGCCATTGCACTATCACAAATAAATTCACCCATCTGCAAGGACAAAACGCCTGTGGAAGAAAAGGGTTAGAGAAGCTTTAAAACACCTAGCAAGTTTAATAATATGCTCTTTACAGCAATCCTTGCAGCAATTTGTATGATTCTTGAGCATTAACAGCTGGGGAACACTGCAAGGGGATATTAGAGGTCTTTGAAAGTCTGTTAGGTCTGAGTATCCAGAGGTGATAATAAGGAGGGATGAAATGTCCCATGATGGATCTGAGGTGCTGCAGAAAAAACAGGGGCAAGTTACCCTTGCCAGCCTCTTGCCATGGCCAGTAGCCCATGGTGCCTTCCCACTCAGTCACAGCCAGAATTGCATTTGCAATAAACAAGGACAACAGACAGGTTTTTTAATAGGTACTGTATTTGTCGACCCAATCCACAGCAGAAATTTAAAAAAAAAAAAAAAAGGAAAAACCATCAGAATTATGTAACAAAATGAGTAATGCTAAGTGGGTGAGGGAATTTCTTGGTCTTTTCTAGCACACAGCATCTTCAGTATAAGCGTGCACAGCTAAGCTTGCATCACCATCAATGTGAAAAACTTTATTTTGCTTCAAAAGGGAAGCATTTGCCCATTGCTAGTAAGTCACCCTTCAGAGTATCCTTCCTGTTCATGCTAACTGAGGGTAGCCATGCATGCAGAGATCTTTCTTTTTCTTTTTTTTTTCTTTTTTTTTCACCATTAGAAAAGAGCAACCTGGTACAGAAGTTAATGCAACAGGCAACCCAGGCCCCATCAGCTGTCAACAGTCGCTGCAGCTGTTGACTCCTCAGAAGGTTGTGTTGTGCCAGCATCAACTGCCAGGCAAAATTCAGAGGATATTCACAATTTTCATGCAACAAAGTGAAACAAAGCGAGGCGGGCAATGTGTTTTAAAAGGGGAGGTTTTTCTCATGCTACTGAAGGAAAGCAGCACCCCACCGCCACTGAAAATTTCCTGCCCTACCTTTGCAAATCTCCTCTTGGTGGCCAGGGCTTTGCTTCATCCTCTGTGAAGCAGGTTAGTGTGAAAGCAAATGCTGCCCGTAGGAAACCCTCTGGATGTGCACACATGCTCTCACTTGTGCAGGGCTTTTCCAGTTCTCCCTGCCAGCACCTATGCAGACGGTGTAAGATTTTTCTTCTGCCTAGACTTCACTGGCTCTCAAATGTTCTTCTCCTGACAAGACCATCGTGGATGAAGCTCTACCATTGCCATGGCCTACCCTTATGTGGTGATATCCAAAGCTGCTCTGATCTGGAATGGAGAAAGGTGGGAGGAGATGTAATAACATATTGTCACTATAATTTCATATATTCGTTGTTCATGGAGACATTTCCAAAAGCAGCCAAGCCTCTTTTTCCAAAGTGGCCACGTTGTGATGTTTCCTCCTGAGTTCTGACAACATTGCAGCTCTTGGTGTATTTTCCCTCACATTTAGTAGTTTTATCCTCCATCGTGCAGGTGCTTGTTTGCTCTTTGCAGACTATGGGATGCTCTCGGCAGCTTTGAAAGTAAGGCTTTATGAGCGTTGTGCCGCTGGGCTCTCCAAGGAGAAGAAGCATCCCTGAGCCTCCTTCCATCAGGATTTACCAGCCGCGAGGGAGAAGAACACCTCGTACCCAGCAGAGGAGTGATGCAGCCATTGCTCTGCCCCCGGCAGTAGCCTCCTGTTTGCAGAGCCCCTGTGCCTTCAGCTTGTGCCTCTTCCCTGGCAGGTTTGCATGTGGCTGGCTCCTGCGTGGGACACAACACAAGGTGAGCCCTGGGGAGCCCCTGCTCCAACCTCCTTGTTCCACCTGGCCCCACGCCTGGGCCATCAAGCATCCTCAAGTGAGGAGGATGAGCCTGGTTATGCTGGTTTTCCACACTGGGTGGAAAACCCATGCCAAAGCTGCTCTAGGCAGAAATAGATGCTGACATCCCAGAAGGGACAGATTACTTTGAGTAATTTATTACAACTTTGTAGTGTCAGGCATTCTCCACGTTCCTATTCCCTCTCCTTTTTCAAGGCACCTGGCAAGGAGGACTGTAACACAAATGTCCCTGTTGTCATGGGACTGTAGAAGGATGATTTCCCTCCTGCAAGAGCTTGCACCAAAGCCTCCACCTAGGGCAGGTGGCCTCTTGAGCCGTTTGTGCTGCCCTGTGATCTGAGCACTGGAGCTGAAATTGCTGAGGATCCAGTGGTTCACCTGGTGCCATGCTGTAAAGCCACATTTGATTACATTTGGTGTTGCAGCTAATGAAGGTGTTTCATGTTTTTGAAAGCTTTCAGAAAGTGTTCAGTGATTTATATATGTGCTAGACTGATCATTGATAGCAGGAGAAATTCTGACTGGACGTACTTGCTATCCCCCCTTCTCGCCCTCTACTGAAATCCTTGTTTACAAAGACTTGTTTCCTTTTAAATCATTCTTCTGCACATCTAATAGGGCTGACACGCTTCTTTTCAAAGTGAAATACCACTGTACATTCATTTAGGGCTTGCATTCACTCCCTCTAGATTATAGCCAGACTTGCATTGTGCTGCTGTGAATGACGAGTCAGGTCTCTCCTCAACAGAAAAACACAGGCAGGACACTCGTGTTGCTGCCTAAGAAAGAGAAATTAATATGTGTTGTTTTTTTTTTTTTTTAAATAATTTAGATTATAGCCCCCCTTGCTCACTAAATATTTTTTCTTTGGGGCCATGAGTTCCTTTTTTGTCTATCAAAAAGAAGAAGGTAACACAAACTGCTAGACCATCGCCACCACCTCCTTCTCACAACCATCTGCATCTCATCACCATCTGCTCAGTCAGTCCAGGCTGAGGATTTACCCCTCACTAATCAAGATAGGATGAAACCAAATCAAGTTTGAAATTGTACAGAGTATTCTATACGTATGATCTCTAAAACATCTTCCAAAGGGATGTATGTGCCACCAGTGACTTCCCCCCTACAATGGTCACAGACAAGAGGAAATCCTTCCAGTTTCTTTAAAGCAGGGAAATCTCAGTGACAGTGACATCCATGGTTTCTGTGAAACTTCCTGATGCTCCCTCCCTTCTAAGTTCTTTTCTCTATCATTTAAATTCCTGCTTTGCATTCCTTTTCACAAAGATGCTCCAACTCAAAAGGGCAGAAAACCCAGACAGTTTTATATTGAATGGAGAACTGTAGTAGGAGCATAATGGGTGATATGTATGCAGTATAGATCTTATGGATTTTTTTAATGTTCAGTATTTAGTTTTCAGTGATTTTTCTTATTGTGTCACCCTAATCCCTTCCTTCTCCCAGTCATTTTCTGATGTGACTGGGCTTCTTGCAGCTCATTTTCTTTGAAGTGGAACCTCAACCCCAAAATATACAAAACCAAGTTGATATTTTGAACCCAGGAAATGATGTGTGGGTTTGAACTTTGATACAAATGAACCCAAGTTGGTATGAAAGCCAGCAAAGATTGGTTAAATCAAATATATTTAAGGTGGTCACATCGGCATCCTCCCTTCCCCCAGGCATGGGGCTCTCACAATGTGAGGGGAAGTCCAACAGCTGGGGTGTCACCCAGCCACAGACCCTTGAGAAGCCCAAAACATGCCAGGAATCAACCAAATCAAGCCAGTGTTCAACGGTCTCCAAATCCCTGGAAATTTGCTTCTTCCTTGCTGGGGGGACGGACTCAAGAGAGTGATGCCTGGGCATCCCACCCCAGCCCACACACCCTGCTGGCAGCCCCTCCATCACCAGCTGCATCCTTGGCCCACTCCTGCAACAGCTGGCCTGGCCCTCTCCCTGTGTGTCCTGCAGCCTGGAAACGCACTCCAAAAAGGGAGTTTTTTCTGAGGGCATGAATTCAGCCTTTACCACCTTCTTCACTGTCATAAATCACGTTTAGATGGGGTACCACCTCTGGAGCGGTTCCACTTCTCCACTCCGGTGAGATGTCAGCCCCAGCTCTGTTTAACTTCTGTAATCAAGACGCAATTAAGTGGGTTTTGTCAGCATTGGTCACGTTTGGGATGTCTTCAGCTGAATGCAGTATGTAAACTACATTTCAGTGCAATGCTCTGAGGACACAACGAAGCTGAAGAAATTTGGCCAGGTGAGTTGATGGTCTGAAATACAGCCATCTGTCCACCCTGCCCTTTCACTCCAAACAAAGCAGGTTGGATTTGGGAAAACAATGGTATTCCTACACTTCGGACCCAGAAGGCTCCCAGGTTGGAGTGGGATGGACACGTTACTCCAGGGAGTTGGGGATACGTGGCCGTGCTGTGCCCCGCATCGCTGGCAAAGGACTGGTCTCCTTTGCTCAATACCAGCAGCTCTGGGCAGTCCTTGATAGCCACCTGGCAGAGATGCCAGCCTCAAAATACTTGAGTTAAGGGCGAGGTTGTTCTCAGCACCTCCTGGCCAGCACCAGAAAATAAGGGAGAGCTGGCCGATTTGTTTACTGAAGGTCATTGGAAGATAAATATTTTTCCACTTAAAAACAAGGAAACCAGAAAACACCAAAATAAAAGTTGATAAAATATTCTGTCTATGATAAACAAACAAAAACGTACAGATTTTTAAAGCTTTGAAAAGAAATTCCAAACCATTTTTTTTTGTTTTCTCAAACATCAAGCACATTAGGTTTTAAGATTACATAGGAAAACTGAACAATTTTTTTAAGAATGTTTTTCTAAAAAAAATTCTCTATTCTCTGTAAGATGCAAAGGAAAAAGGTTTGGCTTTTTTTCCTCAGTCTGCTCTCCATGGTTGAGGGCTTTTTTTTCTTTGCTGTAAATTTTAAATTCTTGCAGCAGTACATCATATTCAGCTATGTGTTTTTATTTTAGAGGCCAGAACACTCCCCAGATTTCCCCAGAACAGGTTATCTCTCTGAAGTTTTGTGTTGAGGGTGACCCTTTAAAAAAAAACAGGGCCTGGTACTGGTACTTTCTATTATTTGATACAATTTTAAAGTTTTAAAGAATGGAAACGGTCGCACCAGGTGAGCCACTTTTCACACATATTCTGCATGTTGAAGAAAATAGTCCATAAATCTGAACATGAGTCATTCCTTATTTCAGAAATCTGCTATTAAGGCACACTCTGCTTGCATCTCCTTTCCCAGCCGATGTGAGGAGTGGTGGGGGCAGCAGAAACAGGTCATGAAAGGGCTGCTCAGTCGTACCCCTCTGCAATTCAGCGCGGAGTTAGGGAAAACAAAAATGTTATCGGGGTACTGGTGAGAAGGGGGTTAATACTGAGCCAATAACCAGAGATCCCTGAAAACTTGTGGAAAGGTAAATTAGAGGGGAAGGGGGAAAAAAATGTGAAAAAAATTAAAAAAAAAAAAAAAAGAAAGAGAACACGGAAATACCTCTGATTTCCAGAAAAAAAAAAAAAAAAAGAATGCTTAGAAGTGCCACTAGATGCAAATACATTGATTGTGTTGTTGTCAAACCAGCATCCAGCATCCAGCAAGCTGTGTTGCTCTCAGTGGAGCTCTCACTTCTGGCAGTACAATGTTGATGGTATGACCTTTCTCTTCAGGTGCCGGATGGTTGGGCTGGCAGGCACAGATAGAGGCTGCTGAAGCCTTCATCCCCCAGTTCCAGCAACACAGCCCTCCAGAGCCTGTTTTATGAAGAAAACACCGTCAGCCCTGTGCTAGCTGCCCAAGCAGCCCGATGCACAGCTGGGAGGCCCTGAGGAGCGGGAAGCCCGTAAAAATTTTGCTGTTGGTTTGCAAGGGTGAAGGTGTCAACCCAGGGTTTCTAAGCTCCTGGCCTGATGACCCAGCATCGGGGAAGGGCTCCTTGCTGCTTGTGTGCCACCTTGGCTGGATGCCCACGCCAACCTTTTGTCTCCAAAGGAAAGCTGGAGGATATCTCAGGTGTTAGGACATGTGGTGAAAGGCTGCTTCAGTCCCGAGCGCAGGGTGATGTGCAGAGGCATGAAGGCAGCCTTATGAAAGGTGGTTTGAAATATTCTTGGCTACGAAGCGGAGGGGAAGTACATGAAAAGAAAACAAAATGTACACCAAATCCACCCAAAATAATTGCAACTGGGCCGTGAGACTTTTCTGCTTGAAAGTGCAAAGATACGGCCACGCTCGCCCGCGTGCTTTGCTTCTAATGGTTTAAAATGACTGTGTAATTAGTAATTTGGAAGATATATGATAGATTACTGCTGTTTCAGGAATCGCTATTTTAAATGGAGGCACTGCAAATACCCTCCCAAAATGTGAAGGGAGCACTTATGACCCATGAAGTTACCACGGCAGAGGATGCTTAAAATCGCCTGTTGCGACTCATGTTATACTGCTTATAGAGCAGGTGCTTTGCTGGAATAAATCAAAGTAAGTGGGAATTCACCCCAAATTTTCAGTGTCTCTAAATTCCATCAATGCCATCCACAGAGGTGTTGCTGCTGTGCAAGTGACACACCAGGGATTTGTGAGGACTTCTGAAAGAAGGCGGCATCCAGCGGAAACTGGTGCCAACAGCAAGGCATGGAGGTCTTCCAACGCTTCCATCTCAAGATACGGGGTTTGGGGCAGCTAAACATGTAGGCAGGCAGCTGGGATTTTTGAAACCATCAGCCCCATCCCTGGAAGTGTTCAAGACCAGGCTGGATGGGGCTTTGAGCAACCTCGTCTAGTGGGAGGTGTCCCTGCCCATGGCAGAGGGGTTGGAACTAGATGATCTTTAAGGTCCCTTCCAACCTAAACCATCCTATGATCCTATCCCCCTATTAGGGGATTAATCCACTCCTGAAAATGCATTTGCTGATGGCATTTGTCAAGGGCTTCAGCACAGGCTTTGCTGGGTTCCTGAAGAACCGTGGTCAGGGTCTTTATCTGAGACGAGAGCTGGACCAGTGGGGAATGAGCTCACTCCCTGCCATGCTCCTGCCCACTGGTGGGTCTGCAGTGAGTGCCGTGGGGGCCTGACCTTTACTGCCCACCAGGACCTACTGTCACAGGGTCATTCCCACCGGAGCTGCAGGCAGATGGATGGCCAGTGCAACCAGTGCAGCCCCCTCAGCCCAGGCAGGAGCAGCGCCAGGCAGTGGGTGCCCCTCGCTCACCCTCAGCAGGTTCCTCTTCTGCAGAGAGGAACTCCCCCTGCGCCAGTGTCTGAGGGGATTTTATGGTCTCTGGTGCTGGGGACAACCCCTGAACGAGCAGCAATCCTCAAAGGGCCTCTGCAGCCAGACATACTGCTTCCAGCAGATTTCCAACAGGTCCCTCTGGCTTAGAGACCGAGTTCACCCGGTAGCTTTTTAGGGAGAGGGGGGAGCCTTTGCACCCAGGAGAGCAGGGGCAACCTTCCTGAAGGAAAGGAAGAGTAAACTCCTGAGTGCAAGAGCATTTACCACTTATGCCCTTTGGCTCAGCAGTGCCCTTTCTGCAGGGACCCGTTTCAGAGAGCCCCCAGCAGCTGGTCTGAGCTGGCATCTCTCTCTGCTTTTCTGCCTTGGGTGCAATTCCCAGGTGACTCAACTGGGACTTCAGAGAGGTTTGGTGAAAGCAGAAGCCAGCTTTCTATGTGCTGAGGGCTTGCAAGCGACTGTTGAGAAGAAACAGTCACTTTTCCTGGCATGCCTTTAGTCAGTGTGACCTTAAGAGTGTGAAAACCAGGGGGGCCGGCGGTGACTGCCGTGGTTAAACAGCAGCAAGAGCGTGTTCACAGGAGGACTTCAATTGGTCATCGACACAGAAAACTTCCATGAAGGCAGTGGGGCTTTTGGGTAAGGTTTGAAGGGTCAGGCAATCACAACAGTGTGGAAATCACAAGAAAAAGACAAACAGGCTTGAGGTGCTGTAAGTGTTCACATCACCCGGAAGGCAGGGCAGGGAGGAATCATCCTTTCACATATGCAGAATGTACCCAACAAAAGTTCACTGGTGCACTGCTGCAGCATTTAATGCAGACACCACAGTTGTGTTATTGATCAGATTTTTTCTATTTTGCAGACCGAAACGGTGGTCCTAAATTTTTTTGCCATTTTAAATGGAAATGGCCGACTTCCAGAAACCCCAAGTAACAAAGTCAGCAAAACTAATGAGATTAGCACATCTTAACTGAGGAGAAGACTTATTTGCAAAGGCCAAGTGTGCATGCAGGGGTCTGGCCTCTCAAATTTAGGCAACTGGGGTGAGTTTTCTAATAGAGTTGTTGCTGCACGAAGACAGCAACCAACCGCCCAGCCAGGTAATTTCCCACATATGTACTGTCTGGGGTTTTTATGATTGACTTTGTCTTCTCTTAAAGATTTCTGAATGTGTAACTCATCTACCTCTCTATTTATACATGGATTTCTTTGAACAACTATTTTTTTCAAAATATTCTCCAGTATTTGAGAAAGGTGGTTTTTTTTTCTCCTGAAGGTTTTTACCTAATGCAGATCAAGTCTGCATGTTTCACACTGGCCCAGAATTTGCTGTCTTAAAAGCTGCAAAAGAGAGAAGGCATTAGAAGTGTTCATTTCATAGTGATATATTTCAAGACGGTTTTATACTTAAGTTGGCGCCTTGAGTACCACACAGTCTTGCCCTTAGGAATCAAAATTGGATTTTTAGAAAGCCTTTCAGATGCCTTTTGGTAAAGCTGTGGTTGCTCATCTTGATTTATGGTGGCAATCACCTCCAATCTTGAAGACGTATTTTAATGTTTTGAAGGTGCCTTAACTAGTGACTGAAGAGATTTTGGATGGGCACCGCCAATTCTTTTTTTAGAGGATGGATGGTGTGTTACAAACCTGATTTGTAAAAATGCCTGGGCTTCTCGCTTCTCCCTCAAAACATGGCGATAATTACATTTAAATTTCAGAAGATGGCGTTGAAGATTTGCAATTAATATCCTAAACTCTGCGTGTACCCTCCGCGCCGGCAGCCTGCCAGCGCAGCGCGCGATGACTGGTTTTTTTGATCTGATACGTTACAGCAGAAAGGATGTGGATATGTGTTGGAGACGTTAGAACAACAACAAGAAAAGTGTCGTGACATGAAACACGTGTTTGAAACCCAAAAGGCGGTAAGAAAGACTTTCATGCGAGCCTGGACCTCGCTCCTTCATCCTCACCACCCCCCCCTCCACCTCCCCTGGCTCCCACCACGTTAGGACAGGGGACTTGGTGTCCCCACCACCCAGCCCCGGCCCTGCTGCCGGTACTTCAGACGGGCTTTCCCGGGGCAGCATCCCCCGAGCCCGGTGGGGCGGGAGCCGCTCCCGGTCGGGGCTGGCGGCTGCCCCCGGCTCCGGCTGATGATGCCGCCCCGTCGGGGCTCGCTGCCTGCGGCTCCCGCCCCCCAACCTTGCCCCCTATTTCACATCTTTAGGGGGCTGCTGCTCTCTCGGGAGACAGCCCGAGCCCCAGTTGCCCGCCGGCGAGCCCTCACCCCGGCGGGGAGGGTTTCTCATCCACCTCCACCATCCAAAGCCGGGTTGGGTGGCAGGGGGGTAGCGGCCCCGGGCTCGGACAGGGTGGGTGGGCGGG